GCGAACGAGGAATCCTTGATATTAATTAGATGAGCGTCGTAACTCTGAAATCGGAGAAGTAAGAAGCCGAACTTCGTTTGGGAGTTCGTTAAAGGAGTTACTCGCGTTCGTATGGCGGCGGATATCCTAACTCGCGTAACGACTCTTAACGCGATGGTCTCTCCCACCTACCCTCCACCCCCGTGCTCTTCGCTCTGTAACGAACGCAAAGTTCCCAGCGTGAAACACGTCTCTACGACCGTGGATGCTCACAATTTGTTGCACGCGACACCCGACGCGTGTCACGGAGGCAGACACGCGAGTATCTCTCTCTTTCTCTCTCTCATCCTGCGCGTGTCTTTCCCTCGCTATTCTCTCCCTTTCTCATTCCCGATGTACCAGCGGCGGCCACTCCATGCGAGCAGCACGTTAACTTCGAGTGCGCGCGTTCTACCCCATAAAAAATCTTTCCGATATATTTGCGAGTCGAGCACAACGTGCACGAGTCAACCACCCAGGTAGCAACCGGGAAGCAAGAACGAACGCGCGGTAAACGATTCCCATTGTCCATTATTACCCCGAGCATTATGAGATGAATGAATGAGAGCGCGCGATTTCTTCCAGCCTGTCTGAGCGCTGCTAAAAAACTTACTTAATCTTGTCGCATAAGAAAGTCCACCGCTAAATGGCTCGGCTTGACATACAGAGTTAGATCCCGAGTCGAAATTTTAGTTCTACGTTGATCCTGCAAATTCCGTCGAGTTTGAAGGATCAATGAAGAATCTCGCAAAATCCTACCTTGATACTGTAAGTAGTTGCTCACCTCCATGTTGATGAAGCTCGCAGAAGCACTCGTTCAAGAATTATTTAAAATTCGTTTATCTCAATACAGTCTACTAGAATTTAATCAATATTTTTTTATTTTCAGCCAGAAATGTATTAATTATATAAGCTTAATGGCAAATGGAGAATTTGAGATGAGAAAATATTGAGATATCATATAAAGATTTATGAGGAAATGGGTAGAAAAAAAATAACATTTAAATCTTATATCTTCCTATTTTTTTTTCTCTTTTAGCGTTGGAAGATTCGATAAGATTTGAAGCTCTTAAAAGAGCTGATCAGAAGCTGTAAAAAAAGATAACAGTTATATGCCCAATAATGCTGTGAGTATTTACGAATAGAAATTTTAATTTGGATTCTGTACAATAAAAGACAAATAGAAATGGAAAAAAGGCATTGAAAGATATAATCAAAATCGTGCTCGCGGCCCAAGAAGCATTATTTGACGTAAAAATCAGCAATTATGAGATTTACATATTCTGAGGCCGACATTCATAATTGTGAATTATTTCGAATCTTTGAGAACATCATTAATTACAGATTCGTATTTATGGACTATTATTCGGTTATTTCGATCAATGTTTCTTGTACGATATAGTATAATAAGCATAGGTATAGACTGACAATCCAAAATTAATGAGGTTATAATGATTTATCAAATGATGACTGATTACGAATGCCGGCCTGAATTTCGACTCGGGTACCTCTCTGTTCTCGACAAGTTCATCGCGCTTTTTATCCTAACTTAAACTAACCTGCTGTACAGTAAATAATTTGACACACCTTGAAATATATGATGTACCGTTGTCCATGTTGCGACATTCTGCACCCTCATCCTGAGCTCTCGATCCAGCACCTTGGTTGTTCCGTCGTGACACTGACATTAGCACTGACACTCGCGCAAACACGCTTCGATCGAATGTAAATGAATGCGATACCGAATACTAAAGCCCGGTTAAATAGTTCAAAAGCCGACGAAATACTTGAGTTAGTTGACGATAATAATAGATATCACACTGACACTCCGTGTGCACGCGTACCGCTCGCCGACTCGAGACGTAATGACGCAGCCTGGAAAGCGCGCGGCGAGCGAGGTTATGTTTGACCCTGCGATGTTTTGATCGTTGTGATTCCGGTATTCAGTCTCGCCGGTTGACGATCGGTGGGGAGGGGGGTAAGCTTACATTTCTTGTCCGTTGTTTCGGTATTTTTGTGTATCGCATACCTCGGCATGGCCGAACGTTAGTGACGTCACGAGCCAACCAATTGCAATCATCGTCGGATGACATCAGAATGGAATTTGGAGGAAGCACGACGACGGGACGCCAAGTAGTCATGTATCATATGTATTCTCAGATATATAGATGTATATTCAATGAAATTCCGATGCACCTTCTCGCTTTACAGGTGCGAAAATTATTGTCCTACTCGTGAAAAATTAGAAATACTTCCAGAGTTCCCGTTCTTGCCTGATTTCATACGTTCATTTTTATGATACGATTAAGGGAAGCAAGCTGAAACTGCCGTCGGCGACGTAAGATGAATAGCCGCTTGTGTCAGCCGTTGCAGTGCTCGCTCCGTGCGGTTTAGGTTATTATTTTACATACCTGCGTTATATTCCAAGTCCAAAGAACGGCTATTACCGCGGGTACTGATATTACACGAAAATTTTTGTTCTGGTTGAGTGAACTTTTAGGCGAGGTGTCAAAAGCACCTCGCACGAGCGTTTGCGTAAAATAAAAGCCGACCGGTGATGGGCCGAAACGGTTATAAGCGGATTAAAGTGCGCGTCGTCTGTCGAGCCATCTCTGGATTATCTCGTGAAGCAGAGAGTGACGTTGAAAATAATTCTCAGCGAAAATTTCAGTTTGCACCGGCAAACTGCATTAACTAATTCCGATTTAACGATGCACCGTCTCACGCTCCGATTCGTAATGTTCTGTAGAACACTAAAAAAGGAAGAAAAATTAATCCGAAATTAAAAGTGCAACGGTCGGTACAACAGATCTCTATCTAGCTGTAGGTAACCATTCTATGGGCATATCGATAGTAGTTTCTCTTTTCAATATGCTCGAAATTCGATTCAAATTATTACGGGTTGCGTAAAAATATCCAAAACTTTAATTTAGTGGACGACGATTGAAAGATTTTCGATGAAATGTACGAGAAACTGATATCGTGAAAAGATTATATCAAACCTTAAACCTTCCCTCTCCGTCATTCTAGTCGAGAGAATATCCTGGCTTCCCACTAGATAGCAGCAGCAACTGCGAGCACAATATGGACGCTTGGTATTGGCATCGCCATGGCAATCTTCTTGGCAGTTTCCTAACTATCGCCTTTTTTATACATTTTACACGAGTTTTTTAATATCAACGCATATGTACAGTGTGTGTGCGTGCGTGTGCGTTATGATAACTGCGGTGCAGTGACCGCGGAGGTATCCGAAAGAGCATCGTAAACGCGAAAAGTGCGGTGAGTGTTTCTCGCGTTCGTTGCTTACAGTAATTCCAACTCGTCTGTTTCGTCGATTTGTTTATATAAAATTCTCGGACGTCTTATCGTGGCTTACGAGTAAACGCATGTTTCGGAACAACGAGTGGTAATCGCCTCAAATGATGCTATGAAATGCATCGTGTACCGCTCCGAGTTATCAATGTGTATATAACCTTTCTACATAATCACACAGTGTTCAACTCTTTCCATTTAGATATATACTCGACACATCAGTTCCGGATTCCTTGTCGGCTCGTGTATCTTGTATTGTTGGTGTGAAGGAATTTTCGTGCGATTTCACTGTTGTCCCGATTTTACACGACGAATGAGAATATTTCAAGAAACAGTGTAATAGTGCTAGTTAACAATTAGGATTGATTTCTGTTAAATTTTTCAAAGATTTACAAACCTAGTTCAGTATCATTGCCTTCTACATCAGCAGTCTACTCTATACATTTGTTTTATGCCAGCGTAGGTTGTTCGATAACAATATTCTATCAATTTATAATACTGTCGACAGCTTTCATTTGTATGATAAACTGTCTGATATGAAAATCAATGATACGTGTATCTTGGTACGACAGGATGTGCTTTTCCTGTTTTTGAACGCCCCTACTAATCTTGCTACTAATAAATTGAAGAATTGATAGGCTTGCGTCAAAGCAAATCTCCAAAATAAACTGAAGGAATCGTTGAAAATTCCATTCAAAGTTTCATTAAATTATCTAATAAATGATACAGATAGTTTGAACTTGGCATTCTTATCTCCTTGTTATTTATAGTAATCGATGCAGTTTTACAGAGAAAACAAACTTGAGGAGGAAGATTTTAAAAGAATCGTTCCGTATCTATTCTTCTACTACGTATAAATAATATTGCATTGATAGTTACAAGAAATAAAGTTGATGATATCTTTATCTCCAATTTTTTTGTCGCCAAAAGCTCTATGTGAATAGAATAGAACAATCATCTTTACCTTTTTGATCCTATTATGGCTGGTAAAAAGAGGGAAAAATAATTCTGAATTTGTATTACAAACTCTAATTCTTCTGGCCGATATTGAGATTTTTACAACGTTTCATTTGTCAAAACAATAGATTCTATTTGTTCGGTTTATTAGGTAGAGCTACACGTAGCTCCGGGATTTTTATTATCGCGCAAACATCTGTGTCTGCTGGCTAATATCGGTCCGGATTTGCACTCATTCAGAATCGGGATTGTTTACCGACTTCTCGACGTTGTGTCGACAGTATCCGCGTGTGCGGTCGTTGACGCGCCGGTGAATAAACCAACGTCTCCATGGCAACCCGCTCGTCCGCTAGCGCGTCGTCGTTCGCGTGTTGTGACAGCTGGACCGAAACGTGAGATCGCGGCCGGCAGATCAAATGAACATCGCGCGACTGCTCGCTTGTTCGTTCACGCGCGCGTTTTTCCGCGCGTCTCCGCGTTGTCACTTTGATGCGAACGATTTCCCGCGCGCGCTGTCGTCGACGTCGTCTCGCAGGAAATCGCGTCGTTAGTCTTCAACTCGACTGTCATCGACCACAGTCGGATGCGCGCGATCATCGGCATTCGTTCATGCGTGTAAGCGCAACAAAGATATCGCGAAACGTTCGGTAGTGCAGAGGAACGTATTGATTTTTCTACCGATATTAACGTGTCTCTACGATGTTTGCTTTCAGGGCGGACCTAACCACATTCAGAGTCTGAATAGCGACACAGGTGCGTACCCACAGGAACGTCCCACGGAGGGATGTTTGATGTGTCCGAGCAGTAGCGACCGACGCACGTATGTTTATTATTATGTTGTTTCTTTACCTTTTGCTTCATTTCTTTCCGGCCTCTTATCAATCAGGATGACCACGCGCGTTTACGAAACAGAAAGTAACGTTCAAAACGCTTCTCCTTTCCTTTTGAATGAAAAATTCAGATCTCTCATTTCGGGGTTACCTTGCGTCAAGCAGTTTCCTTCATGATGTACGGCTAATTGTTGCTGCAACAAAAGCAATTAACAAAATCAATTAACAAATTTAATTAACAAATTTAACATTCCCATGTTTCTGTAAGGCAATAGAATGAAATAATAAACGTCCAGACAGCTAACCGGACGTAATTTTTAACAGTGGTTATCTCCGTACGTCGCAGAAAGCATGACTAATTTTGTTCTTTTTACTCGCTTTATACGTTACGCTGCCGCGATTAGCGATAATTTCCGAGAGCATAAATCATATTTTTAATTAACCGTAAATGATAAAGATATTATCAAAGTTATATTCAATGTTTACGTGGTCATCCCGTGGCTAATAAATTTTCTCCCATGTTATATACACTGTTCGTTTGCGCGTGTATATATGCAGATTTATCCGTAATTATTTTGTTGCCTTGTTTTGTTAGCTCATTTCTTCCAATGCATCCTATAAAGATAGGTTCGGTGTTTCTCTCTTTGATGCGACATGCATTTTTGCTAACACTTTATTTCAATGTTTCATTTTTAAACATTTTTCAGTAAAAGGCAAATTATTTCTATTAAAACAATATTAAAATATAACAATGGAATTTTATATGCTTATATTAAAACATTTTTGTTTTTGGGTTCATGTAAATTTTACGTACGTTATCATCGACGTGCAATCATGCATATCACATAATATTTTATTACATTATATTTTTCTTCTTGATTATTATCATATTTAATTGAAAAAGAAGTTTTATACACTATATATATATATATATATATATATATATAAAAAGAGAGAACCTACTAATATACAGGCAGTTACTATTAACAGTAAGTATACAAGGTATGGGTATGAACATACATTTTTCACTAATGATTCATTTAAAAAATTTGTCTATGTCCTAATTTCGACAATATAATTTCCCTTGATTCTCGAGCAGTACGATCCGTTTGTCATAATTATGTGGATTATGGAAAACAGTTTTTATCTTTCCATTATTTTAAGGCATCACACATTATTAACTGATGCAATATAGTTAATCTATATAATGTCCACATAATAATCTTCACATGTTATAAACATACTAACGTGCGTGTACAAACATGTACACGTTTTAGTAAATAAGGGAGCATCGCATATATCAGTTTTATCACAAAAATTCTCACGTTCTATTTTTTATGCGAATATGAACGTAATTAAGCTGGGTAAAATCTGTAGAATACCTAACTTTAGCCCTCTATTGTTGGTCACTACACTTTTATTACGAGATTGATCGAGGTAATTGCAAGGATGTTTTATGTCATGGTATAATACGTATAATATATGTATAATATGTGTATAATATGTATATATTTATAAAGATTTCTTGTTGGTACTTTTGGAACGAACGAAAACTATATAAATTTTTTAATAACTTAATGCTGGTTTTTTTTTGCTATTTGAATATATCAGCGGTTGTTTCTACTTACCTACCGACCGTCACGAAGTTTCCTTACCGTGTCGACATTTACCGACGGTTATATCATACCGACACAATTGATTTATTTAGAACTGAAAATTTTATTTTCTATCAAATATCTAAGATTCATTTTGTAGCTGCGTTGTTGTAAGAGACATTATAAAAATTAGTACTTTTTAATTTTACTACCTGATATGGTAGGAATCTGTAAAGTCGTTTTACCGGCGTGTCTCGGTGTGTAACATCTTTTCTAGTTGCTTACGAATGGTAGCAAGTTCTCTTACCGACGGTGTATCGATCGTTGTATGTTTACCCCCGATTGCACTTCTATAGTTATCGACTTGCACTCACCATCAGCTTGCCGATAATAATCCTTTGGTGGTTATCTATCGGTTTAGTGAAGCGCTTCCTATCAGTTTTCTACAATCGAGCAAGCCACAAATTATTCTGTTATCCTAACAGCCTATCGATAGAAAATTGATCGTTACATAGTAATTTGTAAAAAAAAAATATGATATTTCTCAAAGTGACTTGTAAAGACCATTTAATTGATAACTCTACATGGCTAGTAAAATATTTCCGCAGCTTTTGTAAACAACATGAGCAGAAGAACTCAGTTCATTTGGATTTATTCACCCACTGATACTCGACATTACTTCCTTTATAAACTACTACACGTAACGGACCGCGTATAACTTATTTTCTTAGTTATATCAACGAGATACTACTTATAAACGAGCTACGCGTACAAACAAAGTGCGTGTAAATAATTTGCACGGAATTCCAAGAAATGTATTTTTTTTTTCTTATTAATTACGATTTGCGCACACCACCCATCGAGTCAAACCGTCATAAACATGAAAGGATTTGCTATTCACAGTGGAGCCGCATATATAACGTGGTGATGAACAGACGGTGAGAGAGGAAAAGGAAAAGATATATGTAGAGTGAGTGTAGTGACTCGTGGGAGGTTTGCGTTCGCGTATACGCGAGCACACCGACTTTCCGATCGCGCGTTGTTTGGTATTATTTTTAATCGCTCAATAGTTCGCCCGAACGCCCGAGTGCGAATCTCGAGGCAATGCGATTATTCGTAATTGGATTACGTTTGACTTCCGCCTGTTTTCATGCAGATACGTTCGCTTCTTTTCGCATCGCCGGTAACGTTGAAGTGCCAATATCGTTTTTTCCCAGTCTGGTTTTTTAAAAGAGCAATTCGCGCATGCTAACTCTCAGCGGCTTGATGTAATTCGCGATGTAATTTAACGAGTCTATATCTTCCGGCGAAAGAATATGTTTGAATTGCAATGTCGTTTCCATTCACGAGTAACTTCTCTGTGTCTTATTGGAAAGGGAGGAAAGAGAGAGAGAGAGAGAGAGAGAGAGAGAGAGAGAGAGAGAGAGAGANACGAGGACATCCGGCAGGTCGGGGTTCTTGTGGATTTTTATTAACATTCTTTTATTCTTTTAAATTGACCCTGAATTATGAATTCTCGGTCGCACGAGGGAGCACCTGGCCTCCGCATATACTGTGTCAAAGGGACGGAAAGTCTCACGAGGGTAGTAAACCAACAGCCGATAATCGATCATTCGACTGGGTAACTCCATTCACGATGCATATAAAAGAAAAGATAGGCATCGTGAACTTTCATCGCCAAGACGCGTGACATATGTCCTTTACGTTAGGACGTTACGTCGTGTTTTATAACGCGAACCAAGTTGGTCCATTACCTTACGGCTTCTATTTCACGTCGTTTTTTTCGGCCATTATAGTCCGTTGAATGGCGTTTCGTTAAATTTACACCTCGTGACTTCATTTTCGTTCTATCTCTCTCGGTTGAACAACGTTTCTCCGAATTCTTACGCGCATCATAGTGTCGTCGTGAAAAACCTGGAAAAAGAGAAATTTCTGTAATTTGTATCTTCATATATAGGATCCGAAGAAACTGTGGAACATTATGAATATCGGAGTCAAACAGTTTCTTCTTAATGAGTAGGAGTTTTTTTGACCTCACACGGATGACATTAATAGAAAAGTGACTAGTTTCAAGTGTAGGGTAGAACGAGCTTTTCTCACTATTGGACTTTAACCGCATTGCTGGATGAACCGGGCGAGAGGGAGCCCTGGTGGGCGGCGAGTAACTGACCGCAAAAGCGACGACGAACTTTTTTATTTATTTCTGTCTTCTTTTATGCGGAGACCTCATTCGTTCATTAGACCCGACCGACCGCCCATGCAACACGCTCGCGCAGGCCGAAGTCGGTCGGTGCTGAGTTTTCTCGGACCGTATGGTACATCTCTCATCCTATCTCTTAGCCGACCCAAAACTCCTTACCTCGTTCCTTCCTCTGCGGCTGGCATTTCGAATAAGCTCGGCAACTCGGAAATGCGTGTGTCTAAATTGTAAACGTTTTAGATTCACTCCGAATAAAAAAATCCGTTTACAAAAGAAACCCTGGGAAAGTACCCCCTTGATTTTGGTGAGCCTCGGATACACTGTAGAGACGGCAAAAATAAAAGATGCTTATTTTTACTATAAATGACTTCTCGGACGTTTAAGGGACGTTTAAGCTGAAACAAGCTCGAAGCTTGTTTCATATCCCGCCCTCTTATTCTTGACGAATTTCGAAATTTTTATGAGGACAAAAATTAAAGAGATTTTTACGCTAAATTCAGCTACGTATAATAAAGTATTCTTCTGAGATTGCGTTTTTAGGTAAACTCCCCTGAGTCGTAAACTCCGCGCTGTAAGTAGTTACAGTCGCGCGCGGTCAGGCGAAACTGGCGCTGTCTGACCGCGCGCGTCTGTTACTACTTACAGCGTTGCATTTATAACTTGTATCATATTTCTTAGACGGTGCTTTAGCGAAGAGGCACTTGTAAAATAGAATGTCTTTTTTCGTTTTGACCTCTGTAATATATTGGAGCTTATCAAAAAACCGATGAAAGATGATATAGATGGATAAAGTAGAACGTTCTAATGGCTCGTTCAAAAAGTGGAGCGAACAAAATTTTAACGAGGGATAAATTGACAAAATAAGGGAAACAAGTTACTATTATCTTTTGACGTTTCGCTCACTTTTATTATTGACGTTCTCCACTTCTCAAATCTCCCTTCTTTCAGCACCAACAGAACTACGACTTGCTCTACGTTCCCTAAGAATTCGCAGTCATTATCCTAACACGCTTCGTTTTTCTTTCCTCCCTTTATAACTAATTTTCGCACGCCTCGTCTGAGATCTAGAGCGCATATTCGCGGCGGGCCGGCCGTATTATAAAACTCCCGGTTTCCATAGCCGGACGAGATTGAAAGCAACCGAGGTGGAAGTAAATCCGAGAACGCGTTTGATCTTAAACCGTCCAAACTATTT